GAGACACATCCTTCGATTCTAGAAATGTCTTAATTTATTTGATAATTTCTTTTCTATTATTTTCTCTGTTCTTTTTCTGAGAAAAGTTGGATGCTATAGCTCTTAGACTAATTATTGTATTCATATTACCCATCTTGTCTTTTCACTTCTACTGCTAGATTATTTCAATTTTATTTTTTAATTTTCCATAAATTAAAAATTTTTTAGTTATCACATAGAACTCATTCTGGTTCTCACTGCTCTTTTTTCATAGCATCTTTCTCTAGCTTTATAGAAATCCACAAAAAAATGAAGGGATTAATTAAAATGAATGTTTCAACCCTTTCAGCTGCACATGGAATGATGAAAGACTTGGCAGTTATGTAATTTTCTTTCATTCAGTAAAGACTTCAGAGGTACAATTTAGTGTGCAGGAAGATTTCCAGTCTTTTCTTTTTCTTTCTTTCCTTTTTATTTTTTTTCTTGCTGGAGAAAAAGAGAGAGAGAAAGTGATGAAGTCACCCCCTCCCATGGTGGATAGCCATTCGACACTCCCTTCTTCTCCATTTCTATCAGTATTTTTGGCACACATGCACCTGTTGTGTTTTTCAACCACCGGGTCTGGGGCTCAAACAACGCAGTCAATTATGTGGGCTCCAGCCATCTTAACCATCATGTCACTAATTGGCCCACGATTCAGTTTTAAGATGGCAGAGAAAAGACATCTGCGGCCTCCTCTTGAAAATCACAACGTAACATGAAAAACAAAAAGCAAACACAAGTTCAACTTCGGTTAAACTAGAAAATGTCTGTAAGACTGAGTCAGTATAAAAATATAGAATATGCACACATAAGTGAAAACCACTTGGCGGAGTAAATGGCTGTGGCACTTACATTATACAGGGAGTACCCTTAATTTTTTCATCCTTCCTTTTAAAGGGGTACTATGTATATTTGACACCTATTTAAAATGTCATGTATTTTAAAATGGGCATATTTATCAGATTTTATCTTTTGTGAGCTCCAAACCCAATATAAATTGAGCTCTATATCTAAAGCATGTTATAAATATTTTGGAAAACATTTGCATTAGAAGTTCATATTCAAACTATAATTTCAAAATTTATCCAATTTGTTATTTTCTATAGAAATTAAACTCAAACTCAGAGATAACTGTACCAAGTATAAGATTAATAAAGCAATACACATAATTAAGTGACTAAAAATGGGTGAAGAAAAAGCTATAAACCAAAGTACCTGATAACTTGGCAACTGATAGTTTGTCTTTACTATGTGAAATGAGCTTGGCCCTGTAAATTCTCCCATACATTCTTAGTTTAAGTCTCTTCTCTGTTTTTTGTTTTTTTTTTTTTTCCACAGGGCGCACATGCTCAGGGAGAGGGAAAGTGAGCAATCAGCCCCAGGAGGGATGGTCACAGCACAATTCCTCCTCATCCGATCTTTTCTTGGAATTTGAGGCACATGCACACATGCGCCCAGCATGGTTTTCAAGCCATCAGGTCCAGGACTCGAATCATGATAGGTCTTGTGGAAATTCAGCACCTTAACCACCACACCACCTGCTGGCCCTATTTTTATTTTCTGATAGAGAATATTGTTGGGAAAACTTTTGTTTTCATAGCAGAAGTTATAAATAATTAGTGAACTTTAAAGCACCCAAAATCATTTTAGGCCCTACTATTTGAGGTATAAAAATAAAACAGTTTACAGATATCCCTTGTTCATATCAATGAAAAGTCCCTCCCCCCCAATTTGGTAATATAAAAATTTGAGGCTTTTAAGTCTACATAGCAAGCATGTTTTCTACTCCTTCCAGTGACCAAACTTTGCTGTTATTGAAAATCTCTCTAGTGGGCATGGGGTCCTGTAGTTACTTTGGTGATGCTGTGGTTCAAGCTACATAGGCAGTCCATGCCTATGGAGATAAGGGGAATGTGTTTGATGAGGAAGCAGTCTCTGATGTGGTGAGAACAGCAGAGTCACATGCCAGGATGAGTCAAAAAAAGGTATATAGATGGAACAGACACTGGCAAAGCAGTTGTTCTTCAGCAGGGCTTGAAGGTTATAAAGATGGAACACAAGTCATTATCAACTATGGACAACTCAGAAAAACAGAGTGCTTTCCTTGTGTCGCCTTCCAGATAACAGTCTGACTTTTTCTTTTTTAAGTTTTTGCAATAGGGCATGTGTGCTCGATGAAGAGACATAGAGAAAGTGAGAAATCAACCCCTACCCCAGAGAGGGGGGGATGGCCACACCACAATCCCCTCTCCTCCAGTCTTCTCTCAAAATTTTGAACATACACACACACACACAGTATGATTTTCAAGCCATTGGTTCCAGAGCTTGAACTGCAATCGGTCATGTGCGAGGCTACTGCCTTAGCCACTATACCACCTGCTGACTCCATAGTTTGTCTTTAATTGCTAAAATAAAAAAAATCTTCTGAATGCATTTGGCCAGCATGAAGAATATGAGCTCGAACATTTAAAATCAATCACTCCCCAGCCCCATGTTGTAGATTTACTGGACTTCATTAAGAATATGGAATACTGTCATGCAGTTCAGGCTCGGAAAAAGACTGAAGAGGGTTAAGATGAAAGACTCTGTGAAAATAATACTGATTAAAACGAAAACTGTAGCATATGTTCTGTTGAGATAGATTATTCATACTTAGAATGCTATAGAAGCACTAGAGCATGCATATGCTGAAAAACTAGGTCTCACTTGGATTTTGGAAAAGACAGCCAATTTAGTTAAACTGGGAATATCAGTAGACATATTACAGTATCTCAAACAACTATAACAATTATCTTTCCTTTTCTAATGATAATGTGAAATGTCTTCAAACTTAACCCTATTAAATATAAGCCCCTTTTCTTCATCACTACTAATTTGTGTATAGTTTAAGATGTGCTCAGAAATTCCAATTGTCATTCATTATTTTGAAGTTTCTGACCAAAATCAGACTCATTAATTAACAGAAGTAAATGTGAGATATAAACATACCTTATAATAACTCTACTCTCTGTTCCTGTCACTTCAAGTAGTCAGCCTCATCATTAATGACACTAATGATCTAATAGCCAATGTAAATATAGGTATACACACAGACACACAGATATCTATCTAGACATGTAAATATATACTGTAATTAAGAGACTAAAAGTGTGAGAAACTGAAGCAATGTTTATACTGCTGAGTAAATTATTAAAACCAAACAAAACTAAGAAAGAAGAAAGAAATCTCTATTAAGCCTACCCATATCTTCTCTTTTCTTTTACCTAAAAATATCTATTCCCTGTTCTGTGGTTCTCAAACTTCAGAACGCACCAGGATCACCTGGAGGGCTTGTTAAGACAGATTGCTGGACACTACTCTGTTAAATTTCTGACTCAACAGAATTGGGATGAAGCCCAAGAATTTGTATATCTCAAAGTCCCCAGTGATGTTCACATTGTTAATCTGGAGACCAAACTTTGAGAACCACTGATTTACACTTATCCTAAATTACTTTCCCTCAGTTTAAAAATAAACAAATAAATAAATAGCACTTCTCTCCTTTCCAATGAGTTTAACTTTGTAGTCTTGGTTCCACCCCTCATCTCCATTTTGCCATTAATTCCTCTATTTCTAGCATTCCCAGTCTTTCTGACTTTTGACTTCTCCATTTCTGTATTCTGGATGCATGGATCTTTATTTTTAAAAAATATAAAACAGAGGGAACCAGCAGTTAGCATAATGGCTATGTCGCTGGACTTCCACGTAGTCGACCGCGGTTCACGTCCTGGACCTGGTGGCTTAAAACTCACGCCGGGCCCATGTGTGTGCGTGCCCAAGATCCCAAGAGGAGAATGGAGGAGAAGGGATTGCGGCGTGACCATCCCCCCTGGGGGGTGATTTCTCGCTTTCTGTCTCTATGTCTCTGTCTGTCTGTCTGGCGAGCGCACGCACCCTATAGCAAAAAGAAAAACCTCTCAAAAAAAAAATGTAAAACAGATATTCAATCTAGCTATCATCTGTTGCCTGTCATGCACCTGTTCACTTCCAAATTTCTAGGCAAACTTTATTTGAACCAAAACTTTTACATTCTCTTTCTACTCTTCATTTCTCAGATTGTCTTTGAATTAATCAGAGTCCCAACAGGAAAGATGACACCAAAATCCCTTCACCTCAATGCCTGACTCAACCAATAGCTTTCCAGGCTGAAAAGTCCTAGGATTGCTCAGGTCAGTTTTAAAGCCCTCTCCCTCAGACTAATCACTTAAATTAGCCATTTCTAGAATCTCTTCATTTCTATTAAGACTCTCTGGAGGTTATAAAATTAGAGATGAATTTATTACTATAGGCATTATAATGTTATTGTTAGAAAAAATATCATCACTTTCCTAGACTTTCTAGTGGCAATGTATTGGACTACTATCTTCATGGAATTGTTTATAAAAAATATAGTTTATAACAGTGTTTATCTCTCCCTTTACTAGTAAAAGAACTCCTTTGTTTCAAATGAAATTTTATATAATACCTCACTATAAATAACAGACCATAAGTGCAACTGCTTGGGTTGCCGTTTTATAAAGGCCTAAAACCTCACAGACTAAGAAAACCCTTGCTGTTCTCTACAACAATAACGACCACTCAGGGTGCTTCCCAGGAAGCATGGAATACAGAAAAAAAAAAAAAAATCATCACTTCGAACATTTTTAAAAATATTAGAGATGCCGATATGCACAGAAGAATCAAAGCTTCAAGGGAAATCAACCACCTTACAAGGTCTCTTTACTACAATACCAAAAAACCAAAATTCATTTCTTCTCAGTTTACTCAAACACACATAATACAAATTTTTCACAGGTTCATATATGGAAGACTACCCTGTTTAAATAATCTGGAAATTAATATAGCATCAACTTAAATATATACTGGCTTAGTACAGCATATCGGGAGGAATAAATAGGGATTTTTCCCATGCCAATAAAATACAAGACATCAAACACACATTAATAGTGAAATCGATCAAGATTATTTTTTATTGCACATTTGTTTGCATGTCTGTTGCTTTGGGGTAGAGCTAACCTTGATATATTGAGTTAGTTTCAGTCATTTTTCCATCACTAAATTATAGCAATGAATTGCCTACATGTTCCCTTTAGTTTGACTTCCAGAAATCAGAAAAGCAATCATCCCAATTTGTTTTGGTATTGGAGCACAGGTTTAACATTTGTCTTTAAAAGATTTTAATAACCACAAATAAAACACTGTAAAGACAGCCATCAATTTTTGTCTACATATGTAACCCAGGATCAGAAAATTTCTGATTAAACAATATTGTAAAAGCAACTACAAACCAACCCTCTTGCAAATTATTCAATTATTGTATGTATAATAAAGCACTTATTTTAGAAAATTGTAACACTTCAAGAAAATTATTCTCTCACAATCAGGCCTTTATAAATCCTCCTCACCCAAACAAAAAAACCACAGTGACTCCAAATCTTAGAAAAAAATTATTATTTTGGACTTAACTATGCAGAATAATATTCTTTTTCCCTTTCCATTGTACTCCATGGCTTAATGCAACATGGATGTCCAGTCTAAACTGAAATACAGCATTTGTGCAGGTCAAGATTGAAAAAGGCCTAGAACATTCATAGCCTAATAAACAAAAGCAGCAAGAATGGAGATGTAGCTACCCTAGCAAATGAAAAAGTCTGACTATTAATGGGTTACAAGTAATTACTGATATTCTTATTTTAAGCTTATCAATGCCACACTTAAAAAAGCAGAGTGACAAAAGATATCTGGCAGAATCTTCTAAATTATTTACCCCAAATTCTTAAATGAAAAAGTTATTGCATCACTCTTAAGTTTTACAGTTCACTTATTATTTTCCTCTGTAGGATTATTAAGAACAAATGATCCTATTTAACCTTAACCTAGTAAAGTTTTCCTCTCACATACTCATACATTACAAGTTACTAAAATCACAATTCTGAGGAATTTCTTTGTAATCATAAAAACATCATATGCTTAAATAGTAGTCAAGAAAAGAAATCCTTTCTTACTCTATCTAGAATGAACTGTTACCAAGTCTGTAAGAACACTTTTCCACAGTGTTTCTTTACACAATTAACAATAACAATTACGGAAAATGCATCTCAACTCCACAGTGAACTAGCATCCATGCTTATTCCACATAGGTACTGCCAGTGGTCCCTGCGGTGTTCTTTCAACAAGGACAAACTCATCAGGGTTGCCACATGCCTCATAGAAAACCAGTAAATCTTGTATCGCACGCTCCTCAATCTGAAAGGACAAGAAAAAAAAAATAAAGCCTGCATTACTCTTTTAATTATAAACTAAGTAGGATACATTAGTTTTCCAATTTCCTTTTGAGAAACTAACCATTTTTCCATAGATAGAATACAGTGGAATTAAATCAGGTATTTTGCAATCCCCTTGGTAAGGAGAAAATTTGAGACCTGAGCTAGTATAATCAGACATTCACCCTCCCTTGAATATAAATCTTGAGCAAAAGTTAAAAAAATGTTGTAATCCATTCATTCCAAAAGCTTTAGTCTGTGAGATATTTCCTGTTATTGTACAAGTCCTCTAAATTTTGCTTTCTGAGCTCTCCAGTGCAACTATGTACTCCATCAATTTCCACTTAGTTCTCTGATTTTTTTTTCTTCTTCTTTTTTGGAGAGATTTTCGCTATAGGGCACGTGCACTCGCCAGACAGACAGAAAGCGAGAAATCACCCCCCAGGGAGGATGGTCACGCCGCAATCCCTTCTCCTCCATTCTCCTCTCGTTATCTTGGGGCACGTACGCACATGCGCCCAGCGTGAGTTTTAAGCCACCAGGTCCGGGACGCGAACCACAGTCGACTACGTGGGAGTCCAGCGACATAGCGATTACGCTAACTGCTGGTTCCCAGTTCTCTGATTTTTTTTACCTAAATCTGTGAAATTTTAATATGCCTCAAATAAATTCTCTCTTCCTTAAGTTAGCCAGAATTGGAGAGTGTTGCTTATAACCTAAGAGCTCTCGCTGATACAGAAACTAATTGTGGTGCTGTTTTACCTAATTCTCTACTGGTCACTTTAAACACTAAAATAGTCCAAAGCATCATTAAAGCAAAACATATAAGCTTTGTCAAAATTTATTATTTTTAAATTAATTATCCTGAATATTTTCAATTAATACTTAAATGCTGGATGCCTCAGTTAGTATTACTTGGCATTTACTCTTTTAAAATATAACTTGATAGATATGTATACATCTGTCCAATGCAGACAATTTTCTTAGGACTTAAGGATGAAATATAATATAGTTATTCATTAAATTAAACCCTAATGAGTAGGTAATTTACCTGAATCAGAGCCAAGGGTTTTTCTCGACTTCTGATAAGAGCTGCTTCCTGTTGTAGCTCTTCTTCTACAATAGATGCGAAAGTGACTGGGGCTACCACAGAAGGAGCAGTCAATGAAGACGATAGCCAAGGGCTGAAAGAGTGACGATGACCTTTATTCATCTCCCCCAATTTTTGCAAACAAAATTCCCTTAGAAACACTCATTAGTAATGCGGTATTTTCTTTCAGTAACTTACAGTATATAAAATGACCTACAAGCTTTTGCAGAGACTGTAGAATAATGAGGTGAGAAATAGAAAAAGGAGACTATTTCATTAGGGTTAGTGTTAATAGAGATTATTTTGAAAAATGCCAGAAAGTGGGGATGGAACAGAAGCAATGTAACTACATGAAAGGTAACTCAACTATGAACAGAGAGTATTCAGAAAATATGATGTGCCCAACAACATACTATTCCCAATTTCTTCATATTCTCTTTCAATGCTAAGTAACTTAATTTTGGAGGTTAAAAAAATCACCAATTAAACTTACTTGGTATTGTCTAGAACTGGTAAATCTGAAATATGGTTGCTTTCTGGTCCTGGAGTACCATGCATAGACCATCTACAAAAGAAATACCCAATTTTGAGATTAATGCTTTTAATAATCTTAGTGAAACTGCTTATAAATAGATACAGAGGAGGAACTATAAACTCCTATTCAGTAGGTAAATCCATGTGTACAATCAGGATTACTTTAAAATTATAAATAAAATAGCCTAAGAATATTTATAAAAGTTTATATGGAATACAATAGATGAAACTCTTAAACCAAATCATTTTTTCTAATAATTCATATAGTAATTTATTCTATTTTTAAAAATAATTATATTATTTATTATTATTACTTTTTTTGAGAGGATTTTGCTATAGGGCGCATGCATCTAGAAAGACAAAGAGAGAGAGAGAGAAAGTGAGAAATCATCCCCCCGAGGGAATGGCCACGCCGCAATCCCTTCTCCTCCATTCTCCTCTAGGGATCTTGGGCATGCATGCACACATGCCTGGTGTGAGTTTAAGTCACTGGGTCCAGGACTTGAACTGCGGTTGGCTACATGAGAGTCCAGCCACGTAGCCATTACACCATCTGCTGGTCCCATTTATTATTATTACTTTTTAATTTGACCAGAGAGAGAGAAAATGAGAAAGGAAGCCACCAGGTTTGGGACTTGAACCACGGGCAGTCCTGTGGGAGTTAAGCACCTTAACCACCATGCTACCTGCTAGCCCCCATACAGTCATTTATAGCAACCAAACCATATATAAGGCAACACAGAAAACTACGAAGAATATGTCGTATTAATATTTTGTGAATAAGAATGTCAAATTAACTCTAAGTTTCAAATACAGGAATCAGAAATAATTAATAGTCTGATTGTGTTGGTGACTAATACACTTTGAACTAGAGATTATACATAGGACTGAAATAGAAAATATGATCTTATATATTACTTGTTTGATTCACAAATTGGACAGGAGGCAGAGGGAACTCAAATTCAGGCCTTTTCCACTCAAGGATATAGTGTTTTCCTTTATCATATTGCAGCCTTTGTTTCTAGTATTCCCCTTAGTCTGGAATACATTCCATTCCAAATGCCTTCTCATTCTTTAAGGAATGGTTCGACTATCACCTTTTTTCTCCTACCACAGGACTCCAATCACTATGATAAACCTTCACCATTGTGTAATTGTTTCCACACTTATCCTCACTACTTGTCTCTCAGGATGCAGGACTGTATTTCACTCATCCCTGAATCTCAATGTCTAGCAGAATATCTAGAATGTAGTTGTTTATAGAAAAGTTCTTAAAGCATACATAATTAAAACAGAAAATCCAAAGTATTTTTTAGAGTAGGATAAAATAAAAGTAAAGTTTTGTTTTTAAATCCTTATTTTTTTTAATTGCTAATAACTTATTCTTTCAGATATGGGTACTGAAATAAAAAAATGAAGACTAGGTCTAGTTATAGGGTCCTGAAATTTAATGAAGTTCAGTGACTTGAAACCTGCTGGATTAAGTCTTTAAAACAGTCCAAGCCTGGGACCAGCAGATGGTGCAGTGGTTATGTCACTGTACTCCCGCAGGGTTGACCCTGGTTCAAGTCCTGGACCCAGTGGCTTCAAAATCACACTGGGTGCATACACAAGTGTGTCCAAGATCCCAGGATGTCTGTCTCTTTCTCTCAAGTGAGTGTGCATGCCCTAGGCAGAAATCTCTCTTAAAAACAAAACAAACGGTCCAAGCCTAGAGATAAGAGGTTTTCTGGCATTGAAACATTACACAGATAATTATTTAACTGTGCTCTGAAATCACTCTGGTATTCTGGAGATAAATTAAAATGTTTTGACACTTTCAAAGAAATGCAAAAAAAGAGAACCAATTATTTAACTGCTAAATGAGAAGCAGCAGCTACAAGGTCCATCTTTGAAAATGGTATGTCGCCTGATAATAAAACTAAATTTTAGGACTGAAGTGTCTCACACAGGCTTTGTTCAATCCAAGAGAAGCAATCAGAGCTTAAACATAACAATATATTTATGTTACATTTCATAATTTATGAAGCATTTTTATATATTCCAACTGATATAAACTTTATAGTAAACCCTCATGATAGGTATTACTACTTCACTCATACATACAAAACTAAGGTTTGAAAAGATCCAGAAATGGCTATAGTGTTAGACTGAAACTCGAATCTGTTTCTTAAGACTAAAATCTCAGAACTCTTTCCATTAATAATTATTCAATGGATAATTTCATTGTTTATAAAGTCATCCAAACAATTTGGCATCTGTCAAAATTTCATCTTATAATGAAACAAATGTGTTAAGTAAATGGAGCTATGACTAAACAAATACCAAAAACGTTCTAAGCTTTCAAATAATAAATATAATGTTATTAAACTTCAGATATTAGCAACATAGAAACGGACAATCCCAATAAACAATACGGATAAAATTTAGCCTTTTGAAAAAAAAACATGTTAGCTAAAATCCTCTTGAAAAGTTTTTTGTGGGAACCAGCAGTGAGCGTAATGGCTATGTCGCTGGACTCCCACGTAGTCGACCGCGGTTCGTGTCCCGGACCTGGTGGCTTAAAACTCACGCCAGGCATGTGTGCGTGCGTGCCCAAGATCCCGAGAGGAGAATGGAGGAGAAGGGATTGCGGCGTGACCATCCCCCCTGGGGGGTGATTTCTCGCTTTCTGTCTCTATGTCTCTCTCTGTCTGTCTGGCGAGCGCACGCGCCCTACAGTGAAAATCTCTCCAAAAAAAAAAAAAAAAGTTTTTTGTTCAAACTCAAGAACATTACTACTGTCAGACATTAAGAGAATAACAAAAAATTACTTTTACTCATATAGTTAGCTTTTATTTTTATTTTAAATTTTACTAGCTTAATTACAAAGAATTTTCTGTAAGATTAAAGTTGTAATGATCATATAATGATTTTTGTCTCTCAAGGAGTTTTCCTTACTAATTAGAAACACAAGTTCACATATTCTGACCAAAATTACATAAGGGAGTATTTCAGTACAAGGAAAACATAACATATAAAATGAAAGAGAACACGTAAGTAATAATAAATGAAAACGGTACAACTCACTCTTCCATATTTTAAAACACCTCCCTCCCTCCCAACAACATGGCCATTCTTGCCCTAGCCTTGGGGGAAAAAAATATCACACTTCCTACAATTAAAACAAAAATGTATAATTTGTGGAATTTCCTGAGATGAGCCCTCACCCCTGCCACCCTAACTCCCCAAAGAACCATAAGCATTCCTGTCTTCCTTCCTGCTTTAACTCCTACTATTTCCTCTGTTTATATTGTTCCTCCTCCTCTTTATTATTCTAAAAATCCCATCCTATGTTCAACAACTTGTGACAACAAAAGAGATCAATAATTAAGTGAACCATATTTCCTAGTATGATTGACATGGTCATAAATATTATGATCAAATATCTGAAACTGAATGCAAAAGTATTTATGAACTAACAGCTCAAGCATATCTTACTTAATGAAGTATTTCTCAACAACTGTAGCCTATGGTCATTTTTCCTCCTCTGAACGATTCATTTGACACTTGATCTTAATTGCTTTGTGACCTCTTTAATGTTGTTATAATATATTGTAACTTCATTTTTGTTCTGTCATTTGACTTACATGTTGCATGTATAGATTTACTAAACAGATTTCAAACACATTAAAGGCTGGCATATATGTATATATTTTTTTTCATATATACCCAATAGAAGCCAATAAAATATTATATCAGGTGTTCCATAATTTGATAAATTAGTAAATATTTTCCTTTGTAATGTTTTGTAATTCTTTTTTAAAAGAAGCTCACTTATGATTACATATTTATATATGATGAAATAAAAACAAACTCAAGCTATATCTTTTCTTTTTCAGAACGCTATCAGGGATAGCTATAGTTATCTTAAATAATAACTGTCACATCAACTTATGATACATGGGTACATACATATTTCTTTAATTCCAACTTCCAAAGCAGTATAACAACAGTTTTCACTATTAAGAGCCCTGATGTTATAGCACACTCTAGTGATCAACTATGAAACCACGGATCCTTAATATTTTAAGAGTTCCATAAAATATTTATCCAAATGAAAAATTTTAATTGCAATGTATATTGCTAATATTTGAAATATAAAAACATTACAAAAATGAATTTAATTTTCATATCATGAAATCTATACATCTAAGGCATGCAATATAATTTAGTACATTAGTAACAAATATTACTTGAAACAGCTACAATTTTAACTTTTTTGTTCATTCGGTCATTCACCAAAACTTCAATGAGCACTTACTACATGCTGGGAAGCATTTAAAGCACTCCTGATATAATGATGAGCAAAGAGAGACGTTTTACTTGCTCTCAGGGACATACCATTAAATATCCAACTATAGCAAACAAAGAATCACGCTAATAATAATTGCAACTAGAAGATAAGATGAAGGAGAGGTACTATGAGACCATAAAATAACAAACAGGAAAGTCAGCCTTCTCCAAAGAATGTAACTAACAGACTGAAAGAAGAGTCAGAATCAGTTAGTTAAAGGGTAAGGACTTGGAAAGAAGCAAAGTACTTTTAAGAATGAAGAGACCAACTTATCTAGAATACAGAGCTCATGTTGCAAGATAAAGAAAGTTAAAGAGGTTGGCAGGAACAAGACTGTGTAGATCTTCAAGGCCACATAAAAAATTCGAGCTTTGGGAACCAGCAGTTAGTGTAATAGCTATGTCCCTGGACTCGCATGTAGTCGACCTGGTGGCTTAAAACTCACACCGGGCGTGTGTGCGTGCGTGCGTGCCCAAGATCCCTAGAATGGAGAAGGGAGAAGGGATTGCGGCATGACCATCCCCCCCGGGGGGTGATTTTTCGCTTTCTGTCTCTATGTCCCTCTCTGTCTGGCGAGCGCACGCGCCCTACAGTGAAAACAAAGAAAAAAATTTGAGCTTTGGGCCAGCAAGTGGCATGGTGGTTAAGGTGCTGGACTCCCAAATGGCAGACCATGGATCGAGTCCTGGACCTGG